TACATATATAATTATTGGTTATCAACAGATATCATAAAAGGCTCAACATTTCATGTTAAAAAAGTATAACTACGAGCCAATAAAAATATGAGAAATTTTATAGACGATTCTAGAATCGATCATCATTATTCCAAAACGTTATCCATTACACAAACCAAATTTGGAGATATCCCGGACTGCAATAAGGACTAACCAAATAAATAGTATTAACAAAATAACTCAGTAAAAAAACCGTATTACAAACCTTCTTTGTAAAAATTTTGCTTTATCTTTATTAAGATATCAAGATAGATTAGAACTTATAAACACCTGAGAAGCTCTGCAAAATATATAAGTATGGAACTTTAATTTATCTATTCTGATGAAAATTCTCAAAATACTTATATTTTTGATTAAACTTTAGATATGGCTACAATAGCTGAGTTAGCTGATGCTATAGACCAATCTCTAAATGATACAACAATATGTAAAACTATTTTATCAAATCAAATTAAAAGATCAACAAAAGCAATTTATCGAAAATATACTAATCTGCAACAAGATTTAATAAATATACAATGGGACCATGATATATATATGCAAGAACGGAATCAAGCATTGCAACAATTAGAAAATGAACAGGTATTTAATAAATATTGATAAAACTGAATATATGATAGATATATAAAATAGAAGAATAAAACTAAAGATGAGCATATACAAATACAAAACTGTCGAAATGAAAGAGCTCTTGGTGAATTTTGGCAAGATCGACTATATAATCAGTATAAAAAATGAAAGAATAAGACTAAAGATGAACGTCAAATAATTTTAAATTTACATGTACAAATTTTATTACTACAGAATAATCTATACAATATGGCAGAAGCAAGACATTTACCTACATTAAAATATATATCTACCTTTTTAAATCCAATTCTACAATATATAGGTCAAATGCCACCTAGTGATTATTGTGATATAATTATACAGGCATAGGCACCTGCTATACCAAATATGATGGCTCTTGAAAATGCAAATGCTGAAGATTTTGATGATGCTGTCAAAGTCGAAATCATGAAAGGTAAAATGGCAGGAAAATATGCACCAGTACCACCTCAAAATGATTTTGTAAATCCAGCAGTTAATATTGATAGTCCAGATACTTTAAGAGCATGGTTAAATACAAAATATCAACGAGAAATAGTTGAAACTAACCAATCAGCTATTTTAAGATTATCTCAAGAAAGATTCTAACCTTTTGATAATCTTGATATCTATGAAGCCTGAATTCATCCACTAATATTAGGCATAGCAAATAATGATACATATATCTTAGAAACTCTTAAAATTCATTTATTAGAGGATCGTGAGCTTTATAGTTGAATAAGAAATGAAAATATAGCAGGCATTAATGAATTTTTCATTATATTGAAAAATATATGGCTCGAACATTCTACTTTAACTAAAGGGCAAAATTTCGATCAAGCTTATTCAAAAAAAGTATCAGCAAAGCAAAATGAAAGTATTATATTGCAATCTGTATTCTTCTCATATGATGAAATACAAAAATCTTTCCAAGCTATGTTTGATAAACGAGATGCTGAACAAAAGGCTAAGATAGCAAAGCGGGATGCATCACACAAGGCCAAGATTGAAAAATTGAAAACTGAATTCGAATCAAAAATGGCTAAGCAAACGCAAGTATCTGCTTCTCAAACTGTTAAACCAGTTAGACAGCCAAGAGGACTACTATCTTCATTACAAACAGAAGAAGGTATAGAAAATTATCGCTTATCACAATACTTAAATAATTTAGGTATATTTAGTGCAAAAGATTTAAAGAGAAATTATTCTATAAAACCTTTCCAAAAATCTCACTCATAGCGAAGCAATGTCTCTGCTAGAATTGATAAAATAGAGGAGGGGATAAATAAAACTCGTGATGCAGTAAATCAATTAACTAATCAATTTCAAAAAGTATACATAGAAAAATGTAATATTTGTGGAAAGACAGGCCATGGCAAAAAAAATTGTCTTAATAGACAGATAGCTTGATCTAATTTCAATCGGTCTGCTTATTTTAAGCCTCTTACATCTATAAATTTTCAAAACACACCCCCAGGTTTGGATAATAAGGAAGATGGTTATAATGAAGAAAATAATAGATGGACCATGTATGATATATCTGAAAAAAAAAACAGATACCAATAGAAAATAACCAGCCTGAAACGTATAATCAGCTATTGTCTAAGTTTTCACTATCAATCTGAAAAATGTGCTTGTCCCGAAAGGCTCTGGAGGTGTCAAAAAAATCAGATGAGTGGTTTTCATCTTTACAGTACTTGCATTGTAATATAAATGATCTAACAATTACTGATTCTTTCTTAGATACCGGAAGTGAATTCGGTGCGATAAATGATCTAGCAATTTATACACTTGGATGGAAGATTGATGAGCCATCTGATTTTGCTATAAAGAGAAATTCCAAACATATTATCGATTCATTAGGATGGTACACAGATATGCCAGTTACTCTGAAGGATAAAGAAAACAAGACTGTCACAATTATTAGAAATTTTGTTTGTATTAATAATAGTGAACCTGAACCAATACTATTTTTAGGTATGTCAAATATTCGAAAGCTTCAAGGCACCCCTGAGCCAAATAAAAACCAGTTCCACATAAAGTTACATAGGAAAATCTATATTATTCTAACATATAGCAAGAACCTAATAGTAAAGGAATCATCAAAAGATAGAGTCATCAAAAACATTAGATTCTGATTCATCTAGTAAAGAGTTAAAAAAAATGCGTAAATTGTGAAAGTATGATCATTCATATAAAGGAACTTGAAAAGGCACTATTTACTAATGTTCAAACCAATTCAGAATTTATCAGATATTATAATGATTTACATAATAAGTATAAAGAAAAAATCAATTCTATACTTTTAGATTAGAAGTTGATACTTTAGAAATATCAGCATGTGTATCTACTCTAACTTTTTTAATCACTTTTTGTATTCTCTTATAGAATTTCAAAGGATCTTCAGTTTCTTGTGAAGTTTCAGATAGTATAGTTTCTTTTTTTACTTCTAATGATATTGCACTTAACTTTTCAGTTAAATTTTTATTAATAGAAGGTTGATTCAAAATACGAACAGGTTTGAATTTTATTTTTTTAATCGATGTCTCAATAGCTGAAAATTTTTTGTTTTTAAAATCATTTATAATAGAAGAGTTATCAGAATCAGAAGGTGATGAAGAATTAAGATCTTGTTGTAAACATTCATTGTGCTTCTATATCTCATAGACACGATGAGCACCAATATGAAATTTTTCTGCTATTCTTTTTGATGCATTTGATATCTTCCCCCTTGATTCTCTAATTTCTATAATATCAGATTCAGATAAATGAGTCGCATTAGATCAATAAAATTTTTGATGAATATGGGTAAGCATCTTAAGATAAATATATATGTATTAGAAAAAAAGTTTCAATAATTTTTCAAAACATATTAATACTTATTGATCAGCATTATATATGTATTCATATATATTAATACCTATTGATACCTATTGATACCTATTAATACCTATTAATACCTATTAATACTTATTGTTATCTAATAATTGATGCCTATTGATACCTATTAATATAAAAATTTAATATATTTTTTGTTATACATATATGAAAAAAAAAATATGGCTAATATACACACATTACGAGATATTAACTCAAAAGGATATCGACTTGGAAGTACTAGGGAGGTAGAACTTGAAGAAGCTTTACATGATAGTTGTAAGACTAATTCTAAACTTATTGATGATTTTAAAAACTATCGAAAGGTGCATAAAAAGTTTATTAATAATATTAAACAGGATAAGGTATATTTGCAACGTAATCTAAATCAAACTAGTAAAGATAAAGAAGAACTTACCAAGTATATCTATTAACTTATAGATGTGATTTCGATTCAAAATAACTCATCAAAAAAGGAATCGGAGATTTTATCTCTCAAATTCAAAATAACTGAATTAGAAAATATAAAGAGTGAATTGGAATCGAAGGTTAATGAACTTGAGTGTCTGAAATCAGAGGCTATATCAAAGCCCGTTGTTGGTAGAAATGTTAAAAAAAATATAATCAAGGATAGTAATCTAAGTAAATATTTTATATGTGGAAAAAATATGGTTCCAATAGAAAAAATCAATGGTAATATGTGTTCTGAGTCAAAGACTCATGGCTTATTATAGAACAATGGCACTTATGTGCTTGCCACTAACACTAGCTCCACTATCTCGACATATACTAATGATGAGATTACTGAACTATCAAAAAATAATACTAAGATTATTACCAAGGCAAGTGATGAAATCAATATTAGCAAAACCAACAACAATACATTCCAAGAATTATCAAATATGGCTCTTTACCTTGCACAGCCAAAAAATTATAACCTCTCTTTAATCGAATTGCACTCTCAAATTCTGATAGGAGGAATAGAAGCGATTTCTGTTATGACAAACACATTGATGTTACCTTTATCAGCATATATTTTTCTTACCCTGTTAATTATTGCCGTTATGTAGTTCATGGTATTGAAACGTATATAGGGTATAGATAGACTCAAAAAGCTATTGCTTCACAATAAAAAAAGTGATTGGTTATGGGATACGTGGGTTAGATAATGAATTTATTAATTATAAAAGTTCTTTGAAATAGATATTATACAAAAATGAATTTTCAAGATAGTATTAACGAAACTAGCTTTGCTAAATTAAATTGGCAGAAAATTGAAAATGACGTAAAATCAAAGCTTATAAATTTTTTTCAAAGTAATGAAGAATCAATTACTCTAGACATAAATAATAATATAGAATATGCATATTATTTATATTATTTGAAAAAAATTATTAATGAGAATTAGTGATATATATAGATTGGATAAGCTGATATAATCTCACCTTCATCACTCAATTTCAGATATTTTAGTTAA